GTAGCACACAAGTTCACTACCCTGGATCAATCTGAATGGCTCATTTTTGTTGAATCTGAATAATATTGGGCTCAATTACTCCCGCATGTATAAATCAGTATTAGCTGAATAGAGGTCACTTAACCTGCAGCTGGAACTCATTCATCACTTCTATAGCTTTAACTATCCCAGTTAGAATTTCCCCCGTATTTCAGTAACTAGCATACGTACGCCCAGGTTACCTTGTGTTATTTTATTCAGCCTATTCTTACCTCATCATCATGCTGTTTAAATGAGTTAGCATGCTGGTATCCATGTCGAACGATCGTTTCCTCCGCCTCTAATCAGCTCTTATCCAAAGTTGTTTACCGCTTTAAAACAATAGCTGTGAGGATTGGTTGTTCGATTCGAAGAGTAATTGAGGATCACATATTTCTACTCACTTATGGGAGGAGTTGGCACAACAATGAATCATTTGCCACTAAGTGCGTCTATTTCATTCGTTTCTGCAAACTGTGATTGGTTCCGCATTTACCCAGTCAGATTGGTGTTTTTTGTTGACCTACTAATAGTGTATCCCAGGTTTTGAATTAAAACGTGTACACTGAAAAATTGGATATCGCTTCTCACATAACAGTAATTGTTTCAGTCGATGATATGGAACATAAATTGTGACTCACCCATAGAATATCTCTTTCATAAAATGTAAATACCTAAGAGATGTCAATTATTCGTCGATTACGTGTTTTTTTTCAATGGATTTCTGGAGTTCTTCATGGAGTGTAGTAACTACATTCAACTTTCAACTTGCCGTAAGAAGACAAAAACATGTAAGCCTCACTATCAAAGAGTCGACCCATATTTGGTCGTGAGAAGATCTGAAGGGTTTCGTTCCGTGCAGAGTAAATAACGATAAAGAACCCATGTCCTGATATGCCAATGAGACCCGGGGTTCACGATTCTCCAGACGCTCTCCGTCAAATCTGTAAAAACCAAAGTCTACTTATAGTACTTATAGTTTACTTGAAAACCCAAGCCCGGTGTACTTTCCATGAAAATTAGTTTTACCTCTGGAATATACGGATCTCAGGTCTCATTAGGCCCGTTGGTTGAAAAGTAAGCATTTGTTGTTTTATTCAAGTTCGAATTATCGTTGTTTGCATGCGAATGAATGTTCATCTCGCCCTCATTCTGTGATACACACAAACACACGCCTTTATATGACCGATCTAAGGAGTCATTTTGGAACTTGACACGTTTAAACTACCCTGTGCGTTTTAGTGGATATCATTGATGGTTTACGCATCCTCACTTTCGGTGGGAATATTAAGTACTGTTTGCAAGTGACATGCGTGTCAGTTATGTGGGTCAAGATGCACAGGAATCCAAATCAATCCCACAGCGCCCCACCCTTTCTGACAGACTGGGCACCCTTTGAGAGTGAAAGCTATTTTACGATCAACGGAATCACTTTATGATGGGGGCGTCAATCAGGCCACGTCAAAATCTCCAAACGCTATCTGTCCTCCCAGCTGACTGACTAACTGACTGACTGCATTTCAAAGTGTTGGCAGTTGAATGCTGAAAGAAGCACATGATTGTTGGACAGTTCTGTTTCTTCAGGCTGGGTAAGAACAGGAACACATGTTGTGGTTATCCTCCAGGACAATGTTATCTAATAACCGCAAGCTCAATAGTGGGTTTATGCTTGCACACTCATAGGGTAACGTGGTTGGCATTCTGTGCATGTAAATTGCAAGGCAATTAGGTTGTTGTTCTTCTTGTTGTTGATTTTGTGAAAAATTCGATATTCGTTTATGCAAAACCATATTTTATGTTTCATCTTACATCAATAATCCGGACTTGTATATTGTGGCACCACAAAAATTCAGTGATTGCTTCGGGACACTTTTCCATTTCTATAGTAACCCAAAGGACTGATATCTGCGGTTTGCTAGAGACGTTTTGCATTGATAAACAATGTATACGATACAGATATGCATTTACAATCCTTGTCACGACAAAAGACGAGATGAGCAAGTTGTTTTCATCAAATGATCTGCTGGTAGTTTTCCATGGGCTTTCTACACTTTTAATCTGGCAAGATTATGCTTTTAGACTCACCTGCCGCATATTAAAGGAATGAATATAGAAACCTTCAATTCATGACAATCTCCACCGGCTGAGCAATAAAAGGTGATGAAACAAATTCTTCCAGAAATCGCACTAGACAGCTTCCCTGAGTCTAGCCAACAGAATTCAATTAACGTAGCGTTGTATTACAACGAATAGGCTTTGTATCTGGACAATGCAGCATCTTTCCTGCAACCAGTTGATCACCCTTTTGACTGCCTGAACCCGTCCCAGAACAGCTTTTTCTGTGCACAGTTGAAGAAATCATTAGGTACCACGTGGGCGGAAGTGGACCACGAAAGCTCGAACAGCATTAATCCGCCTACGTTATACACTAATCACGAAATGTGCCCATTGATTTGGAGCACGCAATGTAGGCAACCGTATGTTTTCGGTCAATTCTTTTCCTTGCCTTTATAATCACATTTATATGAGACAATTTCAACAGGGTCAAAAATAAACTTGTGCGCTGTTTGAATCACGTAACTAAAGTCGCTATGTCATGTCATGGTCGTGTGTACAAGCGATTTTCTCTTCCCTTGTCCAGGGGAATTTGAGAGCTTCATGCAGTTTTCGGTGTGAGTACAGCTCAGGCTTCATGAGTCGGATGCTAATCGCCTCTGCGGTTAACAACGTCCAAAACCGTGTTGCTCTCGAGGGGTGTGGTGACACTAGACAAATGATTTTAAATACCGAGAGAATGTCAACCAAGTGTCCCGTCTCTGCCAGCGTGGATTGTGAAATCCATATTCACTGCCGCTCAGCTAAGATGTGTGTTCTCAAACCCACCAAACATCCGATGGTACAGCAAAAATAGACTGCCTATGTTGACCTCATCTAGGATTGTCTACCAATTCAAGTGCACCTGTGGTGCAACTAACGTAGGTCGAGTGACATGGTAGTTATCTCAGCGGACCCAAGAGCGCTGGCTCGCACAGGGTGGGAGTGGAGTTGTGTCAAGCTCGATCGCTGCTCAACTGGTAGAGATGGGGCTCTTGGTTGACATTCCCTCGGCATTTGGGTTAGCCCATTCGTTTTTTTCACGATCACTAGGCCTTATTTTTGATCTTGGGTAAGACTTACACCCCTTCAATTTTATAGTTCTTACACCAAACGTGCGCACTGCTAACGACTCTCAAATAGGAAAAAACAGCTCTCTCTACCGTTTGTCGGTTAGCATAAAACTTTTCATGGTATTTAATTGCATTTGACTAGTGGGTAATCAACGATGTCCCACGTCCAAGATCATCAACAGGGCCTGATGCCTGTGAAAAATCGAACGGGCTGATCCCAGCATTCACGGTCTAAATTGATTGACCCATTCTTGCAGTGTGATGAGCGTCTATCGCGTAGCTCAGGGTGAAGTGTTTGAAGTCCCAAGCCATTGGTTGACAGTTCGTAGTCCTGACAAGGACTCAAAACGCACGCACTGCTGTTGCGTTGCAAGCAGGGAGAAACAACTGTTCAGCGCTCTTCGTCGGTCATCACGAAAATTTTAATCGCATGTATTCAATTGCATTCATTCCCTGATTTGAACAGCCAAAACCAAATCCGAATGATTGAATTATTCGCTCAAGGTGCTAACCGTTGACCATGTCGCTCAGAGTTTCAAACTTTCTGCTCACCACCTTTGTGCTTCGAGGGACACAAAAGCTGCGCACTGCCGACCAGTCCAATCGAGGTGGGAGCAATTGGCCACTGCTTCCAGGCGGTCGTCACAGAGGTTTAAATCAAATTTAAAACCCAAACCAATTGCATTCAAACAACCAATGATATAGAGCGCAAATTCTCTGAGGCAGTCATCTGTAAGATCAGTATGCACACCGATCGTGGCTCATGGAAATTGGTATCTTCTTAAACACAACGGATCATATAACGAGGATGGAAGTTTACTGTGTACCGTTAGATGAACATGGAACATACCGCATGACAGGACCACAAAAGATCACATACGAGACGCAAGCCATTGAATAAGGTAAACCGAAACCGAGCATAATGTCAACCTCGGAACCGCCAGGTTTATGAACACAAACCAAAATTTACGAGTCGGATGACGAGAAGAGGCAATTAGTTCCGCAAAACCGTGAGAAAGATTTCGTACCAAGGTGTGTACGCTACTTATCTACCATGCACTGCAGACTTACTCCAAATCAAATAAACATCTCACAGAAGGACAACTACAAAGATTTGTTGTGCACTGTTTCCAAACTCTGGTAGAACAGCAATTTAGAAGACCACAACTGTGAAACTTTGTCTTAATAAAGATAGAGTTTTATAGTGATTTCACATCAGCCGGCAACGTATAAAGCGCTGCGCTTTCATCCAGGACAGTCTAATCATCTCTCGTTATCAAGCGCAGTCCCTGGAAGGTAATGTTCCACGGTCATAATGTATGCTGCTCTCTTTTTCTGTTTTGCTGTCTTAGTTAGCCTCGTATCCACCCAAGGGCATAATTGATCACGAGAACACGGGCACAGTTTTCTTCACCGTAACTGAGAGCCACACATTTAAAATGAGTGAAGGGAGCAAAATGTCTGATGTTTCTGGGTCATATAGTGATTGGACTAGTGAAGCGGAGTTACGCAAATTACAACACTGTGGATATCTTATCGACATCAATCGATAATTTCATGTTCCCTCCAAAGAGCTCTACCTTGTCCTACCTGTCTTACATTTAGTTAGTTATTGTAAATTCGGTTAACAGGGCCCCGTTTGTTTGTCGGTCTCAATTTACAACCTGTTGAGCATACTCACTGCGCACAACTTCAGAGCACTTTGCTTCTTGAGCACCGTTTGTGTAACCTGGTTTATCAAACGGAACAACCGGGTACACATGCGTTCATCAAATACCAGTTTATTCTGTTCAGTAATCCAAATGAAGAACTGACCTATCGAAATGTGGACCGGAGGCAACCTATCGAACCGCAATTATCCATCGCACTTGTCTCCCGGTTAGTTGTGTGTATCAACATGAAAGAATAAAGCATTTTCTCTTCTTGCATGTACTCCCCATTCCGTCGATATCAGTTTATTGGTGGAACATGTTTCATTGCGTCCATAGTCCAGGGATGCTTTGCAAATGTCAATCAACTGCAATCATCAATCATCGATTCACATCAGTCATCCAGACGATGTTTTCGGCTGGACTTCTACCCGAGTAAGCGTTTGATCCACTGCTCGGATTACCAATTCATGCTCAATCGCATAATCCCCAATGGGAGATAACCACAGACTTGTACAACTGCGCACAGGTAATTTAGAAGCAAGTCACTGATTACCATTCTATAACATTGTTTGGATTTCAATAACGAAATGTAAAAGCCAGAATTATCGCCTTCCTTCCAAAGTTGTGTGCAAACACCAAACTGTTCACAAACCGCGCACAGTATTCGTTTAAGGTAGAAGTTTATACTGCGTTCAAGTGCTATCTTTCCACTATCTCACTTAGAGAGCAAAAGTCACATCTCATCGTCATATATTTCCATGCCAGCCGGCTTTAAATAATAGACAAGAAATTCTATTAAATACATCATAAAAGGGGTCACGTAGTGAAACGAAATTTGTCGGTCACTGTAGACAAGCTGAAATGCACACAGCGGGGGTGGGTGGGGGGGTGGGAGACAGGGAGGGAGGGAAACAAAGATGAGTTGGAGATGAGTTCAAGCTGTGAAAGTGAGACATGCGTGAGTTATAAGAAACGGAAAATACCAAAGTGTTCAACTCTATTGCAATCGGTTGCACTCTTATCCCACGATGAATGAGCACAGCAAAAGTTGTGGCATAGTCAAAGAATATGCCAAGACTTCAGGATATACAATAATCTCATGATGATCCAGAACTCACCACATCGGAGACATACGCCTCGGGGCTTTTTGATGGACCAAGTGCCCTGCCTATAGTTGTATTCCTCGTCGCTTGTTGTCTCTTGCATTACTATAAATCATCAAATATTGTTATTGTAAAACGCTATAGAGTTGAGTGAAATTACACACTCTGGATATATACTCGCGGCCATCCTAGATGTTCGGATTATCTCCGCTCCCACATAAACCATCATCACTATTTTCTGAAGATCCAGACGGCCACCAATTGAACTGTCGAAATACGAAACCTAATTAAATAATCTTTTACTTTAAAGAATGTATGACGAAAAACAAACGAAATTTTCATCGTGAGAAAAGTATTGCACCCACCCTGGAATTGGCCCATTGAACTCAGTTTAGTACCTTGTGCATTGGCCTTCTCGCTTATAAACATCTAATCAACTTCTCGGAATACTCTTCACACGATTTCGAATAATCCCTGTCTTGCCATTAGTGCACTCCCTTAAGGAGAAGATACCCCGGGTTTATGCTTTGGGGTGTACACTCCGGATGTGTTGACACCCACCTTTCGGGTAAGAATAGCCCAAATGTTTTTCATAGGGGTTCAAATCTGTATACTCCCTTATACATAGAACAAGCAAACAATGAATGGTACACTTTATTATTCATCGGTAGCCCCTAGTCCGGCTAATCTATTTCATACTGCATGGCTGGAATCACACAGCCGTCTTTTGACAGTAACTGATGAAAGCACGAACGTAATATACGAAGAGCTACGGTTGCGAAAGCTGGCGTTTGCACACGTAATCGTTAAATGAAGTGCTCAGTTAACAAAATGATTCAGTGCACAGATAACGTTCTGACCAAAAATCGAAGAGGTCATTGTGCATCTCATTGCTTTCCAAGTAGACTCGTTACCTGAGGTCATTCAAAAAAAGCTTACTACGGCGACATTGACAGGTATGGCATGTGTTTTGTTCACGTTCGTGCCACTTTCGAGCTTTCCATTATAGGGCGAAGTGCCTGACTCTGCCATCCCACAATCAATATTTACATTTTTCAGTGGAACTGCTGACATAAGCTGATTTTCCGAATGGAACCGTAGATACAACGCTGTGAGACCGTACAATGGAACTCATGAGTTACCCCATAATGTGGAAAGAAACTGCACTGTGTGCCTGACGGAGGCATTGCAAAACCTTAGTGGAACTAACCGCGAACTGTCAACGCAAGTTGCCCGCAAGCCCCAGCCGTACGCGGTTGAAATTCATTTGCACAACTTCCCTCTTCCTGAGTAGGAAGAAAAACGATTTGTTGTATTGTTCAAACTGCTTCTTCATCCCCCGTGGTTCCACTTTCCACACACACACACACCCCCCCTCATTCCGAGTAATTGCGATGATTGCGCGAACAGAATAGCAGCAGTATAAATCCCATAACCGCTGATGATAATAATCCTGCATATTATGAGATTTGAACTTTCCCTTGGGAAACATCATTTTTAACTGATGATATTCTTTCTCTGCTTTTCTGTCTCTGCACTTTTACTTCCCTTTTATTGAATACACAATGATACAACCTTCAGGGAGGGGGAGGCGGTCGATCAAACGGGGAAAGTCAGGCGGTGGCAATGAGGGGGTTCAAACACACGTCCTCCCGGGGGTGATAATTTGGTGAAGTTGCCACATGTAAATCAAGCTTCCATGTGGTAATCAATAGATGAAATCGAGTACGGTTGACACGGTGTGCTGATTGTACCATGTGCATCACAGGATTCTCAGTTCAAGTACAGAAAACTATGATCATGTTGTGAATTTTGTAACGTTGTTTGCCCATTGTGTTTGTGGAAATAACAATCGAATACGACCCGGTTACCTTTCGCGAGAGAGAATTTGCTCCCACAAATGTTGCACTTTTTTCATTCGAAGATATTTTGCCCGATTTAACACTTGGCTCAGTTTGAATTGATTAACAGAAATTATAAACTCAAAACATTTCTCACAAGTTCAAAACTATCTTCACTTTTACAATGAATGATCGGAAAGAATGCATCTCATCAAGCCCATTCCCTGTCTCATTTTTTTGCATCCCCCGGTCCAAAAGGAAAAGAAACTTTACTCGGCAGAGCTTGGCAAAAACCACGTCGGTTTTAGTTCTCCGCTTGATGTCGATAATTATACAAAGTCGGGCTGTTGTGAGTGCGTGTCATGTAGGAGCGTACTAGGGGAACTCACCATCAGTTAAACTTACCCTTTCACGTCGCAAAAATGATCGCGAGTTCGGATTCGTCGAAACTGGTTCCGGTTTATAATGATCAAACGGATATTTCATGTCAAACGGACAGAAAAGCGATTCGCCTCGTTCGTCCAGAGAATCTATGCGTTCCACACCAACCGCATTGCCACAGATACCTTGTATGGTAAGTATGACCAAATGCAAGCGAGAAATATTTTGATTGATTCAAATTACTTTAAATTAATACTTTTTTCTGGTTTTTACTGGATTTAAATGAAAGAACCTAAGAGTATGCGAACTGAACACTGACAAGAGCGAAGGCGCGAACGAATGCATATTAATTTGCGTATCACTGACAACCAGGCTTGTCATAATGTAAAATACTGAAATAGGTGTACAACTTTTTTCATGATTTTTTTTATTAAAAACAATATTGATTTTTAATGAACACTCTTTTGGCTCAAATCAAGCGAGTATAATTGGTAGGGCCAGTAACCATGTTAGACTTGCGTTTCTCTCTTGCTGAAAATTGCATCATTGTACATTCGATGAGAGCAAGTCAATTAAAAAAAATAAAATAAACAAAGAACATCTCCTGAACATCTGGTTTTTATTGAGTGATATGTTGAATAACCCCATTTGAATTCATGGAAAAAGCGCTATAACTAATCTCTTCATCTATTTGCATATGAATACCATTTTAAAGGCATTTACCAGTTTCTCGCAAATGAAATGTTTTCAGCTGGAATATTTTGTGGGATTGCAGACAAAGGGCACTTTTTCAGCCCTGTTGGCGCATGTCGAATCGTTTCACTCAAACAGTATACAACAAAATAAGTTAAAAAAAGCTATCAACTCTTATTCCTGGACTTGGACCTTGCGGTTTGGGGTTGAGAGCCTCGATCCTTACCCTACTCGTCCGTGAGGTACCGGCATAAAATGTTCATTCTATGTCAGTGAGTAGAACTGCCCTGGTTGCACTTTCCGACCAAATTCAAAAGAGTGTCCCGTGTCAAATTATTTGTATGCTGACCTGTTTACCTGGACATTCCCAACACCTCTCCCGCATAGCAATCAGTGCCTAACGCCGCTTCCTTCAACGTTGACAGTTCCGTTGCAGCATTTCATTGCAGCACGTACGCCCATATAAACCAACATTGACGATGTCGTTTTCGTGATACGTTTAATCTGATAGAATCCACCGAATTTCTAAGAAGAGTGACTGTTTATTCCGCCCTACCGTATATGTGAAGTCGAATTCCAAGCTTGAGAATTTAGATGTGGGCCTCAAAAGAATACGCCACATATTTCCTTACTTAAGAACGGTAATGGTCTATTCAGATTGCAATTTCGTACCATTTTCCGTTTTCCGCTATCATCATCAAAAGTTGGAGATTGTTGAAAATGTCATCTCTACTCATTTGCAAGATGATATGTGACGTATTGAAAACATTCCAAGTTTTATAGTTGGAATGGTTGATTGGGTCACTGGAGTTCGAAATCCGACAAACTTCCCTAGTCCATTCGGTGTATGATGTTGTTATTCAGTAAAATCTTAGATACTAAAGCTGAACTTTCACGAGTGAAGTTTAAGGAGCAATGAGGAGTGGGGACTTGGGAAACACTTTGCAGAATGATAGCACTGCAGTGTGAACCTCAGGTATTGAAGAGTGTTTTGCAGTACCTTATAGGGTATATAAAAGCCAACTGAAAGTATGGTATCAGTTTGCAAACGATACGCCAATAATACAAAATTTAACTTTGTCTCCTGTACTGGTATGTGTTTAAAAATGGGGGTATGGTTCATTAAATCAGTTTTATGCTCATTAAATGCTCATCTGCGAAAATACATTTATTCATTTATTCATAATATTACACCTCGTACTCGTAGGCATCATTCGGATCGGAATACTCTTACCACGATGAAGAATCCGCTACAAGGATTGATAGTTAGTTTATTCGCCTGGGAAACATTGGTTTAGTAAAGTGACCATTCTATCCATTTAAAGCCACCACGTGGCGTTTTATTTTGAAACTATGTAATCCGGTTATCAGAGGTTGTTCGTCGTGAACGATATCGAAAGAATCGATGAAGTGACCCCAAAAGACCTTATCTCCACTTCCCATTTCAATCCCTATGACGATTTCTTCACCCACACAGTCGCTGTCAGCATGCACAAATTACGCTTTGAAGCGTTCGTTAGCCATTCACACATAGGTACTGATGTGATCTAAAGAAAATTGTGTAATTGAGCTACAATGTCATGCACAAAAACAAAAGCTTCATCGACTTTTGCAAAATTCCTAATACCAGCATCTTATCGTCCAAAAAATACGAAATATACAATAAAAGAATTTTCAATAAAGTAGATCTGCATATGAAGCGTTAGAAAAACAGATAAATCTCGCTTGTAATTTCGCGGGTTCAATTGGATGGAATTTGGGGATATACACACCAAAATAAATTTTGACAGTCATCGTTAGATTTTAAAATGCATATTTTTATCTGAAAATGAACACCGGATATGAGTATTGAAATAACGAGTTATGTTAGTGCAGTAATTATTTGGTAATCGTTCATCTGGTCACAAATTGAGTGACTTTTTTCTGTACGAACAATTCTCAGGAGTTGTAGTATACTTGAATGTAAAATTTATAATTCGAACCACACATTTATTGACTAATTAGATGGGAGAAAATGGTTCGCGATGTCGTTTTATCGATTCCAATATGCTCTCACTTGAGTTGAGGAAGAACATCCCACCCGACATCCCGGAAAAAATTCTTATTGATTTCATGGTTTTGATTATGTTTAAAAACTCCATGTTAAGGAATCAAGTTTTGTCGACTAGCCCCAAGATAGGCAATGATTTTTTCTCGAAGAATGCTTTCTCCATGGAACGAACCCGCAACCGTCTTATTCTAGTTAATTCATTTCAACTGATGCCAATTCAATAATGTTCCATCATTTCTCAGAGTAATGCACACACACGTAAATACAGCCCAGAAAAATCCACACACACACACACACACACACACACACAGGCACATAGAATGAAGCTCAGTTTATTTCCGGGCCTATATAACATCCATTATGGGACATCAGAGACGAACGAATACAGTTGTTATTTTGCGCAAAAACATCCGTTTCGCCACATTTCCGGCGGTCAAAGTGGCATTGCGTGTTAATGGGAGGGATGTTTGAAAGTGTTAGGCGAATCCGCACATATGTTTATACGGGAATCCGTTGATTTTACCCCCCCCCCTGCCTCCCCCAAGGAACTAACTGAATTCGCCCGTTTTGATCACACTTGTCTCGCTCGCTCGCCCACTCGCTCGCCCACTCGCTCGCTGCGCGGTAGCGAAACACTTCAGCATGCAGGTAACTATGGTGAAGTGGCACTAGGCTTCTACTATTTCATAACAAGAATATGTCGCAATACAGCTCCAACAAACTAATCACACTATGGAAGAATTGGATTAAGTTATTTACCCACGGACTTTTTAAACGAAACAAAAGGAAACGGCTCGCTTGGATTCTGCAAAAGAAACCCTCGACTGAACGAATGGAAGAAAAAGCCTATTTTCCAACAAGCATACGATCAGTGAATTCCATGGAATTCGATTGAATGTATTAAGGGGAAATACTTGTTGGCTGGTGAATGGTTGATGCAAGTCAATTACTCCTTCGAAACACACCGCTTTCACAGACGATCTGGCTACAGATAGCTCAGACAGGTGATTTATCGTACCCTGACTACCAAGGCATCTCAAAATGTGTAAGCATTTATGATCGGGTTTGTGCCCAAATATGAACCGTATTTGTATGAATTCATAGAAATCTTCCAAATGAACTGAGTGGCCGGTTAGGCTTAAAGACGAGAAAGGAATGTGAGCCGAGTGATAGCGTAATCAAAGACTGAATAACTGAACTGGTTTAACCAAAACGAGATTGAGGATTGATTTTATAGGAGCAGGGAAAGAGCATATAATTGAAAGGTTGCGGAACGATTCGTCCAAATGATCTAAGAATAAACATTGCCGGGTATACTTTAGGTTACTTTAGGTTAGGTTTACTTGCGCAGAACCGAGTGGAAAGCGCTATTTACCACTTCCTCCGTAGTGTATATTATTATTACAGATGGTGCGTCATTAAAGCTGAAGATGTGCTTCTTCTGTTGTAGGTAACCAGAGATCGTACGAGCGTAGCATCTATCTATTTCTGAGTGTTCCACCGCGCGTTCACCCATCCTCCACTCTGTTTTCTGCTTATCTACGTACACTGATAATTTCAGTGGGTGCAATATGAATTCAGTTTGGTTTGATTCTTGTCCGTCACCCAATCGGGAAATTTTCGGTGGTTCCCATAGTTACAAATATTTAGTTGATAATCCAGGGTGAATTTTTACATGACACGAAAGCAATCAGGATATTTTTTGGACAATTCCATCGAGAGCTTGTTATTTCGAATTTCTCGACTGATGTCTCTAATGATGTATGGTGCATGAACACACACTTGGAAAAATGCTGTATTATCCTTTTTTGTGTATTGTCCGTTTCAATAACGAATAACGGTCGCTTACAATGTCACCAAGGCAATGTATCATTATTTATCTTCTTCTATCTGAAAATAGCTGTTACTAGTTTGACCACCCAGAAAAGAAATATATTCCCCATTCTCAATCTCACCAAATGTCAGACGTCGAATGTGGAGGACACAATCATGCGGGTAGGAAGGACGAACAGTCTCTTAACTGTGTTGATCTAAGCCGCCTTGGTCTAAATGCTTTTTTATTCGATGGACAACAGATGATTAGATGAGTGTATTATCCTCCCGATTATCCTTGGGCGGCATTCTTGTGGATAGCTTTTTAGGGGATAAGTTATTGAGAGCGGCAAGTGATTGATCTTTTGAATTTCAGGTGGAGTAGAATGATCACAAAATCTCGCGGAGACTGTCCGCCGAACCTGCCTGGAGCTGAGGCGTGGGAGCTATGAGCATTTGTACGGGATTGTGAATATCGTATGCTCAGTATGGTACTGAGCATCGGAACCGTTAGTGGATAAAATTAAACCAATTTTGCTTAATCGTTTTCTCACTATGTGTTGCTCCTTCACAGGTGGAGAAATAAGTGAGTAACCGTTTTTCAATTTGGTGCAGACCATAATCACAATAATTTCGACCACTGAAAATGATTGATAAATCCCCAACAAATTTATAGGTCTGGTGACCTTGTTCGCACATACTGCCACGTTATCCTGGTACGAGATGTGAACGTACTCATTTTAACATCTTCCATCGCCTCGTCGGTGTTGGGGCACTGTGGATGTTTGAAAATCGCCTTTTCCACAATCCGTTTCAGAGCCTCGCGTGATAAAACATATCCAGCTCCACCGGAGAAATATCCACCGGGGATTTTCAGCTGTTTTGGTGGTGGTCGGAAAAAAGAAGAAATAGTCACTTTCGCTTAGTGACGTTTTAATTTAAAATTATTTTGAGGCATGAACATTTATTGTTCAGATTTATGTGGCAATGATTGCCAAGTGTTGAGGTCTTTTTTTTCAAAAGATCACCAGTCGACTCAGGTGAATTGGCAATTAATTATCCGGAAGTTCCGTCCTAAATGAAACCATATTTCGCCTTCCTGCAATTTGCTTCGCAGACACAACCTCCTATCCAGAACCACGTGACAAAGTGCTAGTGAATGCTAGAACACGGTAACATTAAAACACATGATTCGAAATCAACTGGTTGCAAATGTAACTTGAAGTCCATCTTTTTACTCACAGTGCAGTACTGGAACAACAGGAATTGCCACGCACGTTCCTCATAGTAATACATAGTGGGATATACGGCTGATTCAACACGGCTATATAGTTAAAATAACAAAGAAATACGGAGCTGTTGGGGATGGAGAAATGAGACAAAGTGACGAGATCAAACATGAATATACGGTTATGTTTCAGAGCCGGTCATTATTCATGGCCAAAAACACGGTATTCTCACGATAGTTGAAACGAATGGTATTTTTCAAATTCACACCTAGCCGGTGTGCACCATGCTAATAGTTACTTTGTTATGATTACAAAAGACGATGCTAATCGAGAATAATGGTTTATTGAGGATTACAAATGGGAGTTCAGTAATTTGGCACGTATAACACAAAACGTAATCAGAAACGTACCATCGCAATTCTTTTCGACTCGCAGGGTAATGTTTATAACAGTCGGTAGTTATTCTTTCAGACACATCAGTTGGCCCTCGGTGGTCTTGTTATATTTTTGATCATGGAAAGTTACCTACTATTTCACAACAACTTCACTGAACACGTGATAGCCTGAGCACAACGTAAATGTCCGTGGTGAGCTCTAAACAAAGTTCTGTTTCGATTTTGGCGTTGTGACTCCAAACTTCTCAATGTGGAGAAACAGTGGTAACTCCAATAAGTGATTTGTTTTCGTTCCATACCGCATTTGTTATTTCAAAATTTTTCACCCTGTTTCAAGCGTTGGTGTTCCGTGTGCAGCCGAATTGCAATTTAGGATACAACGCTTTCCCTGTTTTATAAATGAAGAATTTAATACCACGATATTGTTTACAACATCAAATCAGTATCAATAAATAGTACCATGAAATGGATATTTTGAATAGTTGTATAGCTTTGCTGTTATCTGGTCTGAAAAAGACTAGTTCCAGGTATTGGATAGCTGCCCAGGTTGTCTCAGCGGACTCGATAAAGTGTCCGGCTAAACTTCTAAGCTGTTTGTTTGTTGGCAACTCCCTACTGCACCTCATACGCCCAGTGGAACTTATTGCCCTAAAAACAATGATGGATGCGTGCCTTGTTGCAGAGCCGTTGCATTTCGTTGTACCGTAGAAACTTGTTAGTTAAACACAAAAGCTCTTTGCACTAAAGACAACGTCGTCCTAAAAGTGAACTGCATGAATCCTGATGAATCGATCACCTAAAACAATCAAAGAGAGCGGTGGCCTGAGGAGCTAAACCATGGCAGGGAGTCCGACATCCAACTGGATGTTGTGTTGGCGAGCCTGAGATACCTTATAGGGTACTCATTATCATACAACCTTGAGAAAATTAAGCTGTTTTTTTAAAGAAAAAGAACATAAAAAAATTGTTCCGTCCATTTCCTGTAAACCCTGATTAATCTCTGCTATATCACGGAAGGAACGTGTGCAACATAAATAATATGACAAAATTGAAAACAAAAGGACCGTTGCCAGTCACGTACTACCTCGGTTGAACAATCGAGCTACGTCTATAAGGAACGAGACCGTCTGCTAATAATTCAAAATTAGACAAGATCTTATTTATTGTAGCAACATGTACAATATGTCAATAATTCACCTACCTTTTTCATGAATCTACCGTAGTAACGGTCCAAAGATAGGGAAATTAGACTTTCTAACTCCAAGAATGGTCGAGACGCCTTTGCAAATATATTATAAGATAAAGAAAAGTTAGCCACCGAAACAACTCTCATAAACCACAATCCGTAGTTCAGAGCTTTTCCTGCAAAAATGCTATTAGCTGACCATAAAGAGATTGACAAAGACATCGTCCCTTACTTGAAGGGATCCTTACAACGACAATACCTGACCTGTCGCCATGTCATGATGAATAATTGGTGTTGTCTGCCATTATCCGTAAATGTCCATTGTCAATGAACGAAGGGTGATTAATATAACAACAAGGAGCGATTTAAATTGTCCCAAATGCTTGGAAACAACGACTTTTCGTTCAGTATTCGAACAGCAGTTCAAACAAGTACTTTTTTCATACCAGTCTTAAAGTCACCCCAAGGAGAAAATATGAGATAATCATGAATGCTGAATGTTTGGTTGTCGTTCAAAGAGCCAGTGATTGAATTCATCGCCATTGGGATCCCGTGGTATTATTGATTATCAATGGTTTGTGCATTCAAATCCGTACCATTTAGATGAAAAGAGAGAGTCAGCATTTTGTTATCGATCAGTCTTGTGGGTGTGACATAGAGACAGATGAATACATACTTGCCATCGATGCCCGGTCATGAACGGTCGGTCCGGATTGTGCTTCCGCAAAACCCGTTTCAAATTCTCCACCACAGCAAACGTGTCATCGTCCGCTTTGTAGAAATACTCATATTGGTCTCTAAATCGGTATATTTGCTGCAAAATGACTCGCATTTTGTGCCACAAATGTTTTTTCACTTCCGGTTTGGTAAAGTTTAGTTCTGTTGCGCGGGGTAGCATCGGTGGTTTCCGTGTGTGTGTGTGTGCGTCGCGGATGGAAGAAAACACAAAAAGGAAAAGTGAAGAAAATCTGTGTTCACAGTAATGAAAGTAATTTTTGAACTTCAGTTTGATCGAGTGCAATTGTGCGATGAACTTACAGCAAGGACAGCTTGAAGCGGGAGAAAACATGGAAGGCAAAAGTTCCTGGTGTTATGTGAGGGATCTAAACTAGGAACCTGCGTAGTTGACCTACGTCTGTTATGAACCTCGAGGTGAAACCAAAATATTCTGTGGGAGCACATAACCGGTGAAATAGATGTTGTTGCTTATCAAGTAGCCGTCGCGTCTCGCTTGCCCGTGCACGCTCAAATGTCTATCGTTTCAGTAAAGAATGCTGATTCCCACCCTGGTTTAGTGAGTTAGAAGTTTTTACGATAAACCCAACAGTAATACACTACCGAAACTTCTCCTGATAGTTTGGAGTTTGATTATGCCCTCAGGAGCGATCATGATGCCACAAGTCGGCGGAGGTCAGATAGTGAAACAAGTAGTTCACAATGTGTGATCCTTGAACGGAGTACTTTAGTGAGTATTTCATCTTGCCTGGCACTAACCGGAATATCTCGCAGCAGCTATTACTACCTAGTAGTCAAAATTTGAGAAAAGGCAAAACATTGGCCATTCCACGTTCTTCAAACTGTACGGAAGGGAGGGGAGTAGAGGCGTTCACCTCGACGACTCTTTTTAATTGGTTTAGTTCGTGACATCTGATCACTTACTTACTCTTTTACAAGACCGATTCGCCTCAACCAATCATATGTGATTTTTGATTTGTTCATGTTGGTTGGTGCAACTACTGCTTGACCGGCCAGTTTGACCGTATTCTGGATTGATATAAGGCTATTCCTGTTTTTATTATTTTATTACACACCTAAGAGTGATGACCTGCAGGCGAAGTAACCCCCATAGTCACGAGGACCTGCTGTTCAGTGGTGGAAACCGGCAGCCTAAACCTCGGGACTTGGAGTGGCGAATCACACAATGCCTCGAAAGGTTAGGCGTGGTGTTGAACCGGCGGACATCAGAGCTGCGTGCCACCAAAGTCGGGTGGCGGTGGCGGGGATCGAACCTCAGACCATAGGGTCCAAATCACGCCGGTGACAGCGACTAAACTACTGCGTCGGTGTTGACGCCGTCTATTCCACACTGGTCTATAGACGGACTACGTGTGCGCTGCCAATACACGAGCTGGCTAAATCGCAAAGTGGTAGTTTACTTTCTTAACCAGAACATTTCAGAACGGGTGGCTGCAAACAAAAAAGCAGTATGCCTGAGAGAGTGTGTAGTACCGGAACTGTCTATCTGTTTCAATACATGAAAACCACGTGGCAGACACTCGATAGGCAAGCACATTCTACCGCTTCTTACCGGTTGCACCTTCAAGCCATAAAATAATACCGTTAAATGAGTGTTGACTAGTTCTGATTGGAAACTATAGATGGTCAGAAAATCACTTCAGTTGACTGTTTCTTCTGTCAGTGCCAGTGCGTGATGAACGACAGGAACGTATTCCAGAAGTCGATTGCACGCACTTCCCACGATCGAGCAGCGTAGCGTGACTAGTCGCTGAGTTTGAAATGTCACACATAATATGCCACTCTGTGAACAATTCTGCTTATGGTTTTGGGGAGACTTTGGATTTGCGAGAAGAAAACATCCATCTATTAGAGGTGGTTTGTAAATAGAAACTGATTTATTACGGCGAAGGTTGGATGGAATGAACGTGTAATGAAACTCGATTTAGAACATCACGTGTTTGGGAACGTATCTGTGGAAATTTAGTTGTCAAAAACGCATCCGCTAAATAGGACATGTATTGCACATACCTAGCTACCACCCACCGCTCGGCCTCTAGCCTTAATTCAACCACGCAGTTTGGATCAAAGCAATTGGAGGTCAACAGATGAAGTAGGAGCGAGGTATCAAGAAACTCACAGGACGACTATGCAAGGAAGACATTTCTCGTTATTCACGTTTGGGTTCAGAGGATTCCATAAACGAATAGATGTCAGACGCGTTCATGTTGGGGCTTATTGTTCAGGCAAAATGCTCAAAAATACAGGCAAGCACAGTTAGGTTGTGTCATCCGTTTCTTGAACATGAATACTCCCTTCCTCTGCCTCCAACCAAATAGCCTCAAGTTCTGGCCAAGTTACACATTCGCACTTAATTGTAGGGCTGACCTCGATCTATGGAATTTGAAGTGAAGATGATACATACTCCATTTTGGAAAGATATCCGAACTGACAGGACGCACAAGTCACACAAATGGTGAGTTGTTATTTCACGTTTTTTTTCAAAACCGAATTAACAATAATAGTGTGGAAGACTGAAAGCTCAAAATGATGAAACTCCACACTTTCCATGAGTTCCAGTAGAAGATTTTATTGACTAAACTTCAAATCAACAGGTAGCTATCTAAAACCGTGTATGGAAAGCGTTTATTGTGACGTGGAAAATAAAGTTTGATAGGAGAATCAAGCTGTTTTTCGATATGTTCATTGACCGGCCATTTACATTTATTTAGGTAGAGCATTCACTGTTTTTTTTTATCTTGTGCGAGGTGGATCTTATTCCTCTACGTAGAAAGCGTTCAATCCTACGTGCGTCAGCAATTTGATCGAGGTTCCGCTTGGTTAAGACGTTGTTCCAGGATTGTTGCTCGGTGACTGGCCATGATAGAGATAATGTCTGGACAAAANGATTGTGATTGCACATCGGGGGTTCAAGGAGTTTGATGCCCTATCTATGGTCTACCTGTATGAATTTAAATGATCGGATGATAAATTCATCGAAAAGAATAGCTTGTTTCGAATTTTTATTATTATTTTATTTTCAATATCTAAAACCGGCCGGTTATTAGAAAAGCGCCAGAAACGCTTGTTCCGATGGAATTTGTAACTTGATCCGGTTGAATTTACGCGTAGTGGAAGTAGCAGACATAGCGGGCACTCTAATGCATACAAACTCGGCTGTGATTATGACACAATTTGTTTAATTCCATTGCAATTTAAACGGAACATTGTTTTCCGGAGTTGCGCAAACATTTGATTTTCGAGACACATTCCTGATTCGGTAGGAAAACGATTTGGATATAGGTGGTTGTCAACTGTAGCAATTATAATAACCAGAACACGAATTGCAGGTGCTCGGATGGTTTTAAAAACTCGATGTCAGGCGTGCNGTGCACAATTTTATTTGCAGGTGATAATGATGGCGGTGAAGAGAAGGACAAATAGCAGCTCCAGGTCAGTTGAGTACCCGCAAATGTAACTCGAGTTGACCTTTCATTCAGGTCACTGATAAATATTCAGTTTTCATAATTTGGATCGCAGTTTGCAGACATGATTATCTTATGAATGAGTTGCATCGTTTTTCGTTTAGCGTGAAGATTGTAGAATGACACAGGTGCAGAATGACCGTAACTGAGTTAGACTAGGCTCGTCACCACGTTGCAGATGTGAGGAAGATTCCTATTTCCGTGAGTAGGTGCCTTTCTATCGAGTCACTAGATAGACCATCGCGGATTACCCGACGTGATGTTTAGATCATGGTCGGTTTCGATCCATCGAGTAATCTAGTTGAGACAAGGAGTCACGTTTTAGTGCGCTAGTAATGAATGTGAAAGATGGTTTGTCTAAATCAACATCACCTATTCCACATTACTGCTCAGAAGCAACTGCACGCGAAATACTAATGGTTTGTTTTCCTTCGTATGCATACGTTCCGGTTGAGTTAGATGACTCTATCCAGCCACTCAAGATCCTTTGTTCAGTACATTCCATGACTGAAATAACGGTTACTCTCAAAACCATGATCGCTGTTTTCGTAGATTGTTGCTTACTTAACACCGCCTAAAACTGCGCAGTTTCAAAACAGAACCCGTGTGACCAAGGTATTTACAACCACATCAACTTTACCAATTAAAGCCAAAGCCCTCAATGATGGTTCCCTTATGCCGTGCGCCAAAAGGCGTGTGTTATATTCCATATATTTGTACAGACAAACAGTTAAACAGTTCCTCAAAGAACTGTGAGTTTCGGAACAAGATAGAATCTTGGAAACAATTCAGTTTGCTGCTCGAGGTAGCCACTTCATTAATCGTCGATTTCTGTCGATTTCAGATCGTCCACAAACTCGAAAAAAACGGATGTGGGTGGGGAGAAACAGGAATTTGATTATTTTAAAAGGATAAGCTGATTCAACCCACATGAACCACATCATAGTAAAAAAAACCTAGGCTTAGATATATTTGTAACACCAACGCTCTTTCTGAACACTGATTGGTTCAAGATTTCCTCAATATGTGAACTTCTAAGTTGCCCGTGACCACTTCGAACCTCTGCTATTCATGTCCTGAAACATCGGGCTGTTTGAGCAATTACAGGATTTTAGAACATGATTTCAGGTGGACAAGTGTTTTCAGTAACGCGTAATCATGCCGTTGCACTTTATATGAGAGCATAAAACCTAGAGGTTTAGGAGGATGACGTTACAATCTAAGGGGTTGATCACTATATATATATATATATATATATCTGAGTTTTGTACGATATTCTTATTCCTGTTATTCCGAGATTTTCAGTCATGTCACATTGGTCGTGTGGCCCAGTTTTGGGGGACTGTTTTTTTTTGGTGTGTGTGTGTGTGTGGGTTGGTGAATCCGGGGGAGATGGAAAGCTTGGATTAGACGCTTCTGGGCACAGTTAGGGAGTCGTGTTTAATACAGATGGATTGGGCTGTGACCAACTTACGCACATGGACATATATATCGTTGAGGGAGTGTGATTAATAATGGGGAATGCTTCACCTGGGTTTACACGATGACCAAATGGACGTCAATCGCACCCGAGATAGATCCGATCTATCCTGAATCAGGCAGCACGGATGGTGTTCTTTCATATGGATAGATAACTGCCGTGCCTTATGACTGACGTCCAGATCCAGATCACACCTGAACAAGTAAGCAACCACAAAAGCGGTCAACATCTGTAACTCATCTTTACTCCCTATGGGTATTGGGGGCAAATATTTGAAAGTACTACTTTGGTGCGTTGCGTTTAGTGTGGCTTTTACGGCTCCATTCGGTCGTTGTCGGCCACAACTTCGCTGTTAAGAAAATGAATAAT